CAAGATGCATCGATTTTCCTCCAAATACATTCAGTTTATTTTTTATGGCAGAGTAGTACTCCCTTGTTTGTAAATACCATATTTTATTTACCATTTATCTGTTGATGGACATAGAAGTGGCTTCCAAGATTTAGCTATTATGAATTGTGCTGCTACAAACATGGGTAGCTAAATGTTATTGTAATATAATGTCTTTAACTCTTTCTGAAAGAGTCCTGCAAGAGGCATAGCTGGATCAAATGGAATTTCTATTTTTAGTTTTTTGAGGAATCTCCTTACTGATTTCCATAATGGTTGTACTAATTTGCACTCTCATCAATAGTGTAGAGGGCTTTCTTTTCCCCACAGCCTTGCCAGCCATTGTTACTATTTGATTTCTTAATTTTCATTTTTCTGAGGTAAGATGGAATCTCAGTGTTCCTTTAACTTTCATTTCATAATATTGTTGTTAAGACAAGATAAAGATATTTTCCATCTAATGCGAATTCTTTAGATAAGTACTGTTTAAAATAGGTGTAATATGAGCCACATTTGTGATTTAAAATTTTCTAGTAGTCCTGTATATTGGTCAGCTTTCTGTTACTATGAAAAACACCAGAGATAATCAACTTACACAGAGAAGATGTTTATTTTGTTTCATAGTTGTAGACACTTCAAGTCATGATTGGTTGTTCTTTTGTCTTGGGGCTATGGTGACACATGAGGACAGGAGCAAGTGGTGGAGCAAACTGCTCACTCATGGCTGGAGAACAAGAAAGAGAGGAAGAGAGGAGGCTGAGGTCTCACTGTCTCCCTAAAGGGGATGGCCCTGTGACCTAAACACCTCCCTTAGGGGCCCCCACTTCTTAAAGATCCCAGCACCTTCCCTTAGTGCCATGGCTGGGAAACAAGTTTTTAACAGCTACTTCTAGCGGACAATTACCCAAGGCATGGTACATATTAAAAAGTAAAAAGAAACAAGTGAAATTATTTTCATTAATGTCATCTATTTTAATTAGTGCTTCAGAAAGTGGCTAGAATCATGAGCTAAGTGTGCTTGAAAGAGGGGGAGTATTTTGAGAGGATGAATGGAAATGTATTTTTTACTGTAAATTTTTAAAATTTTTTTTTTTTTTTTTTTTGTACCAGGGATTGAACTCGGGTCCTTGCTCTTGCAAGGCAGGCCACCGAACCGCTGAGCTAAATCCCCGGCCCAAAATTTACCAATTTTTAAATCACACCTTGTATACATTTATGCATTGCTTAATGATGGGATAAATTTTGAGAAATGCATTATTAGTCAACTTCATCATTATGAGACGTCTCCGAGCCTACTTACAGGAATTTAGATGTTATAACTGACTCCACACCTAGGCTACATCGTCCAGCCTAGTGTCCCTAGGATACTAACCTGCACAGAGTGTTACTGTACTGAATACTATAGGCAACTATAACCCTTTGGTAACTATTGGTGTATCCAAATACAACCAAACATTGAAAAGTTACAGTGAAAATGAGATGCAATACATTAAAAATGGTGTACCCATGTGGGACACTTGTCATGAATGTGGCAGGAAGTGACATTGCTGGGTGATTGTGAGTGCTGAGTAAAATAAAGACCTAGGACATAATTGTACTCTACTGCACACTTGGACGACACTAAATTTATAAAAAATAGTTTTATTTTTTTCAAGAACAGATTGGTCTCCGTTTACTATGACCTTTTCTTTATAAGCATTTTAGGTACTTATTTTTTTTGTTTTTGGTACTGGGGATCAAGCTCAGCCTTGTGTTTGCAAGGCAAGCAGCAGAACCTCTGAGCTAAATTCCCGGCCACTTATATGCATTTTAAATTTTGAAAACTTTTTGACTTACTTGTAATATCCCAGATACACTCCCATTGTACCACTCTACAAATGTATTTTATATCTATCTCTTTCTATCTCTATTCTGTAAGCTTGTGATTTTTACAAATTATTTGTTCCACTTTTTAAGGATTTTTATTAAAAATTAAAGTACAAGGCCTACACATGGTCACAATCATCAGTGTCACTGTCCCCCAAGAAAACTTATCTCCCAAGATAACAGTGTGTCTTCTGAAATTCTCCTTGACCTGGCTGAAGCTGTTTAACAGTTAACTTATGTAGTACATTTTAAAGATAAAAAGTACAATACAGTAAATGCTGCATAGCTGGTAACAGTTGTTTACCATTATCTATATATCATGTGAAAGTATATGTGCTACATTTTTATATGACTGGCAATGGAGTAGGTTTGTTTATGCTAGTGTTACCACAGATATCATGAATAATGTGCTGTGCTATAATTTTATGATGGCTATGTTGTTACTAGGCAAGAGGACTTTTGCAACTCCATTATAATCATATAGGACTACTGTTGTATATGAAGACCATTATAGATAGAGACATTACACAGCACACAACTGTATTTTGTGTAATCATCTTTCTCAACTGTTATCACTTAACTTGCAAGTAATGTAAAAATTATTAATAATATATTGTATATTATTGTTTCTGTGCTAAGCATTTTGTAAATCTAGCAGGCATTTCATGTCTACAATACACATCAATTTGGTCTGGGCACGTTTCAAGTGTTCAATATCCACACGTGGTTAGTGGATACCATATTGACAGCGCACCATTAGACTAAGAGGAAAGTATTGTTTGTTTAGACTATCAAGTTTTTCAACATCAGACTTCTTGGGATAGTAACCTTGTTTCATTAGAAAAATAAGAGTTTTACTATTGGCAAAAGATATTGCTTACTGTATTTGAGATAAAATAAATATTCAGGGAGGAATTTCCTGACAGTAGCTAAGAGACTATGGTTTAACAGTGCTTCACACACACTACGTTTATTTGAGCCAGTTGTAGTGATAAGAAATAGGGAAGAATTAAATTCTATTTATTTTTGAGAAAGCAGAACCACAGAATACGCTAAATTCTGCTAAAACTCCCTGCCTCATGATCCACCTGCTGATTCCGATCGAGGGTACACTTACCAATAATGAGCGAGCCAAGTCACACAAAATATAATGGGTCCCCGCATTTTCTTGCCTCTTTAAAGCATCTGTCTTGTGGGCGTCTGGAAGGGCTCAGATTTGTCCCACATCTCCATTTTTTTGTTTGTTTGGATCCAGTATAAAATGAGAACAAACTCTTTTTATATGTAAGAGTGTTTTGATTCATCCAAGGTTATACGGAGAAAGGGAGCCTGGGGCTGTCACCTTCATGTGTCAGAGTCCAATACCGTGATCCTTTGACAGGATAGTAACTTATACACACCATGTCACAATAGGCCTCTCATAGACCTTGGAAAGAACTCCCTCCTTATGTAGTATGTAGTGCTGAGCTAGGTAAAGGAGTGTGTGGTCGTTTTCTCTAAAGCAATTACTTTACAGGACTCAATCATTTTTCAGGGAATCCTCTAACCACAGTTATAGCACTAGTGCTGTGTTCTTTTTTTTTTTTTTAATTAATGTTGTTTAGGTGAAAAAAACCCCATTCCCTCTTATGCGCTTATGTTTTGAATTACTGTACAATATAGATAGGAAGCATGCCCACTTGAAAATAAACCTGTAGAAATTCAGATGATACTTGAACACGTTTCCAATATATTATTTAGTTAAAACGATTCTTCCCCTTCCTTTAATCATATCCTGCAGCCCCCCCACCCCCGAAACTGTAACAACTTCGAGATATCACTCAGAGGTCGGGTCTTTTGACTCCTTTACACTCATCATCTGGTGCCGGTGGACCCGTCTTGGTCGCCATTCTTGGAACTGAGGTTTCTAGGAGGCATCAGAGGTGAGCTTGTTGTCCCAAAGCTATAGGTGCCAATGGCAGTTGGACAATTGTTGGTTTCCAGGGACGGACAGAGAGGGCGCACTTCCAAGGACCCTTGCCCAGCCTGGACGTGATAATGGGACGAGAGGGCGGGAATACGGGGAGCTCTTCTCATTGCGCAGCCCGGTTAGATTTTGGGACACTGGGTGAGTAAAGGAACATCAAGAGACCGCAGGGCTGATCTGCTGGAGGGTACTGTAGAACAGATCCCCAGAAAGCAACTGAGGCATAGTTTGAAGTTTCCCTAAAGTCTCGGCGAGGCTTTCCCTTCCTCCAGACCCCAGAGTGTCCCCGCTGTAGACTCCGAGCCCCCCGCCCCGGCGATC